GCATGGAGACCAAGGATGCAAGTGATAAGGGTGCAGAAGGGTAAGGAAGACTCTCCTGTTGAGTCACAAGGTTCAGAAAGGACCCCCTTGCCAAATTTATCCTCAGACCCGATCAACGTCTATATTTAAAGGGTTTAAGCAGCACTTCAATTGACTAATTCAACATTTAGAAAGTGTTTCAATAGAATTGACTACAGCTGCATTAGTATCTTAATTATAGCTCCAAGACTGCAGTATTTATGGTATACTTGCTATAGAGTATTTAAATCAATTCACACACACAGACAGACAGACAAAGAAGTATGTACAAAGATACCTGTGAAAAATTCCCTTTGAGTTCAGTGAAATACCCATGTTGAGTGCTTTGGCTTTTCTCAGTGGATGAGGGTTGAGCCCCAAAGGAGTGGGAGGACTTTATCAGCCCAGGCCCTGTCATCAGCTTTAGGCAACAATCCTCTGACTATCACAAATGTGAAAGTTTGCAAGCTCCAAGAGGTGTCCCACTCAGAGGAAGATGCTGACACATCCCACTGCAGTCCAGCTCACAGGACCTCACTTGGGATGCCTATTTATAGGATTGCAAGATTGTTTACCTTAGTCATATGTAAAATTTCCATCCTCAGGTCAGTAATTACTCAAATTTCCAAAACAATTACAAGTTGTTTCCAATACAATTTCAAATTGTTTTCGAAACTCCAACCAAAAAGGCTGGGGACAGAGCGGCTGGAGAACAGCGGGGCAGAAAGGGACCTGAGAGTTTGGATTGACAGGAAGATGAACATGAGCCAGCAGTGTGCCCAGGTGGTCAGCAGGACCAGGGAAGTGATCTCCCCCTGTACTCAGTGCTGGTGAGGCCACACCTGGAGTGCTGTGTCCAGTTCTGGGCCCCTCAGTTCAGGAAGGATATTGAGGTGCTGGAGCAGGTCCAGAGAAGAGCAACCAGGCTGGTGAAGGGACTGGAACACAAGTCCTATGAGGAGAGGCTGAGGGAGCTGAGGTAGTTTAACCTGGAGAAGAGGAGGCTCAGGGGTCACCTCATCACTCTCCACAACTACCTAAAAGGAGGTTGTAGCCACATGGGGGTCAGTCTCTTCTCCCAGGCAACAAACAGTAGGACAAGAAGGCATGATCTTGAAATTGTGCCAGGGGAGGTTTAGGTTGGATATTAGGAAGAAATTTTTTACTGAGAGAGTTATCAGACATTGGAATGGGCTGCCCAAGGGAAGTGGTGGATTCTCCATCCTTGGAGGTTTTTAAGATGAGACTGGATGTGGCACTGAGTGCCATGGTCTAGTAAACATGGCAGGGCTGGATCAAGGGTTGGACTTGATGATCTTGGAGGCCTTTTCCAACCTGGTTGATTCTGTGATTCTATGGTTGCCCTGGGGATATGGTTCAGGGAGGGAAAGTCCCAAGGTTGTTAGGAGGTGATGCTTTTCTTTCATCTCAGTGATGTTCCCAGCTTAACCATGCAAATGTTCCCAGTGTTTCAAGGGACAATTGGCCACCCCACTTGTCACACAAAGGGCAATGACCAGCAGGGATTCCTGACGTTGTAGAGTGTCCTGGGGAGGGGGTGGGGAGGAGAATGTACCACCACAAGGACTTGAGACAAGATATTGTAAAACTTCAAGAAATTAGTTTTGTAGGTCTGTGTTTAAATATAGACATGTTTAGGTCTTTTGGTTCTTTTTTTGTTTGGGGGTGTGTGTGTTGTGTTTTGTTTTGGGTTTGGTATTTTTAGATTTGGTTCATTGGTTTGTTTGTGGGTTTTCCCTTTTTGTTTTTGTTGTCGTTGTTTTGTTTTGTTTTTTTACAAGTTTAGTCAATGTCAAGGGAATGATGCTGAACATTCTGTCTCTGGTGACGTGAAAGTTAAATCTGTCCTCTACTGTTCTTTACTGTCCTCTAGGGAACCTCCCTGCAAAGTGGCAGTTTAACGAGACATGAAATCTTTTCATCATATAAACATTTTGAAGACAGATGCCAACTGGAGCCTGGGCTGAAGTATTAGAAACTCTTATACCTGAGAAGGACTAATGTTTCAGAAGACCTTTCCTGATGCTGTTGAACTGTAGCTGTTTTGGAGTATTATTATGCCCCCCCAGTAGGAAGCTAGCTCTGTGTCTGTACTCACCTCTTAGCAAAAGTTAAGAATGTGGAAGGAAGGTTGCAGTACAGATGTGGGACTGTTACTGTACTGCACCAGCAATCCCCCAGGAGCATGTACTCAGCCTGCAGGCTACTACTTTGAGCAGTGTTACTGGCACAAAATGAGGATAGCCTGATGTCCTCTACACTGAGTGAGGGGTGTCAGAAGGCCTATAAGGAATTTTATAGTTACCAGGACTCTTGCTGAAAATGTTTTGTTCAGAAATAGTAATTCAAATGGAATTTGCTGTCAGTCACAGCTTTTGTTGTGCTACTTGTGTAACCTTGCATGTTTTTCTGGGCTGAGAAAGAGAGAGGGATTTGCACCATGTATCACTGTAATGTTCTGTTAAAGTAATGCTGTGATTGCAAGCACAGATTTCTTCATTTGTTATATATCCTGAATATCCTGTAACTTCAGAGTAGAATTACAGGAATGATGAGGGTGTTTTTGACACCCCTAACCCACCAAAATATAGCGAGATGATTATAAGTGGATTAGTTGTCCAAGAGGTCATATCATAAAACACTAAGGGAAGCGAAATTGTGTCACTGAAGATATAAGTGTGAGGAAGTCACCATTGCTTTCTTGACATTTGTCAGCCAAGGATCACAAAAGTCATATGAAGATGATGTTTTGTACATTTATGATGCTGTATTGTTATATACAGCTTTTTCTAACTTAAATATAAGTTTACATATAAAACCAATAAATTCATCTCACTACAACCATATTGTTCAAACTTATATTTTGTTTATCAACACTGATTTTGTAATAGCCATAGTTAGAAAAGACAACTTATTTAACAAGTATACATTTTCTCTATGCATGTTCCTCAGAAGTTGTACATGAGCTGACAGAGGATTTCACAGCATGCATTTGTAAATACATTGCCACCAGGTTAATATGCTTATGGTCATTTTTTTCTCTGTGTGGCTGGATCTTCTCAACTAAGTTGTTAAACACCTTGTGAAGATTTTTAAGTACTTAAACCAGATTATTTCAGGGGAAATCAAATTAAAAAATATTTTATAGGCATTGCATGACACTCACTGGATTACTACACACTTTTTTTTTAAAAAAAAAAGGAAGGAAAAGTGAGAGTACAACAATGGCATGATGAAAAACAGCTGTTTTTTGGGAACACAGACTTTTGAAAAACATGAACTGACATTTAAAAGGAAAGTTATTAATGAGCAAAGCTCGTTGCTTCAGTGGATTTAAGATCAGGCCTTGGATAGGAAAAGTGTGAATCTGGAGTTGTGATACATTTTTATCAGAGTTCAATACTCTGTGACCAGGCTCTTCAGTTATTCCATGCAGGGAGGGCTTAATGTACCATATTTGAGGATATTTTACTTTAGGCAGGATTTTGATTTAGTAAGTGATACCATAGTGCACTGAAATCACAATACAAATCCAAATTACACTTATCAGAGTACAGCAATTGACTATACAGATGGATCACAATACAAACACGATTCTTGTTACTGGTCTCTTATGATGTGCTCACTGTCACAACGCTGATCATCCCCAGTCACTGAGAAGGAATGTGGACTCAAGCCAGCTCCAGCATTTCTCTCTTCTGACTTCTCTGTTAGTTGCTCAGCTTTGGTACTGTGTTGGGTTCAGCCAGATCTTACTGCCCTGTGCTGGTTTGGCTAATGCAGGAAGACATTCACACTCATCTGCTTATGTTTTGATTAACTGTTTGAGAACAAACAATCACACAACCAGCTGATCCAGGCAACTGACACAGTCATTTAACTAAAACAAATCTGCTCTCTGGTCCTTTTTTATTACATTCAGCTTTCTTTGCAACAGTGATGGTCAGTGGATTTTGACTGAATTTGGTGGGAAAGTGTCTGTGTAGTAATGCCTAGCATGTTTTCAGATGCAGGCAGAGGAGTATTTTAACATACATCAACCTATGGAAAATTTGTGAAAATAGCCTAAATATTTTTTTTTCCTGGTTAAGGTTTCTCATACTGAATCATGTTATTTTATCTGCTGCAGAGAAGAGTCCACTGCCACATTGCTATTTTTCTTATATATGAATCTCCAGTTTAAAACCTTTTGACCTTTCTCAAGTCAATCAGGAAGGTTCTGTTAAGATGGCTGGAGGCAGACCTTACACTTATCACTAAGATACAAAGCTATAGGACATTCATCAAAGCAATACAACCTCCTGGAAGTACACATTCCATTGGAGTATATTGTTCAAAAATATGGAAACTTTGGTAGAATTTAACTTAGTCTCTTAGTCATGCTCTCATGTTAATAAAAATATTTTTCTTTTATATTTGAAAAATTGTACGGTTGCAGGCAGAGCTGAACTTCATTCATATGCATTTTGTCTATTTTCCTGGGAATGGGGCTAAACTGTAAATTTAATAGACTTAGGGCTCATTAGATCTTCATTATAAAGACATTTTTTGTCAAATCTCATGTAATTTTGTTACTGTAAAATTAATACACTCATAATAGAAAACATCGTACATTTCAACTTTAACAAGTGGCCAGTTATATTTCAGTAAGTGAGACATAAATGCCACAGGACAGATGCAACTGAAACAATGTTTTTTATGCTGTTGCCTTATTTTGGGTAAGCCCTACAAACCTTGTGTATAAGGTGCAACTATGCTTTTGGACTGAGGCATACACATGTCTTTGAATTCCTCTTTCTCTCCAAAGCAAAAAAAGTAAGTGATACGTAAAAGTCTCGCAACATTTATAGCTGGGGCTTGTCAGTGGAATCTGGTTTGCTTTCCTGTGGTACGAATATCTAGTCCCAAAGTCAAGATGATTGTCCGGTGCTGCCCTTCTAGCAGCTCTCACCACAAAACATTTAGGAGTAAACATCTGCTGAAGTGTGCAGTGAGCTGATGAGACTTGAGGCCGTGGAGACGGTCTTGGAATTCCTCTGTGAACAACCATTAAAATTCAAGTCCTTTGGAGCTGCTCTTCTCTTATGGCTGGTGTGCGTGCTGTCTCCATCGTTAGTGTCGAACACCACTGTCGTGCTGGACTCCATTCTGGACACAGCATACAGGCTGCTTTGCCGGGTGGGATGAAACCGGGCTGCCTTGAGCTCTAGCTCGTCATAGCTGGACACTTCAATGAAGGGGCACCAGCGGAAAGCTCGCTTGAAGCCAGCTCGGAACCTAGGAGGAAAGATGCTTGGTGAAAGCCTGTGCTTGTGAGACCCAGCCACAGGCTTTCGTCTGAAAATGTAACTGTGTTGGCAGGACACTGACTCGGCTAATTACCCTCTCCTAGTCTTGAATGTGGTGAAGTCAGTGGGAGTTTCCTAGGCTAAAGTCTCAGTAGGGTAAAAAAAGATACTGGTAACAACTTGTTTCAGTTTCTGATTTTCTATGTACTTTCCCTGCTTTTTAGCATTGGTATTTCCTTGATAATACAGTTCCTGTCCTTTGCCCATGCCTAAATAAACAACACCAGCTTTCATAGAACTGTCTTCATAGAAACTGTTTTGGTTTGACCTCTGATAAAATCTGCACCTACATTTTCATCTTCTTTCAGCAAGAAACTTCATAGTATTCTTTTCTCTAAAATACCATCCTAGTTTCCAGATTCTACTATCCCTTCTGTGTTTCCCTCTCTAGCAGAGATACTTATATGGGAGTGATGTAATGACTAATAATTGTTCATTTAAAATATTTTAAAAATAATTTTTAATAATTAAAGAGGATTCTAGAAAGTTGAAATCTGACTATGAACAATGTACAAATGAGAATTTTGAGGCTTTAGTGCATCAATGCTTGCAATATTCGTACAGTGGTATTTTATTTCGATTCAGATGCAGAGGTTTACTATATAGAATACTGTTACTTTTTGTGTGTAGAAGTTTAATATATTAGAAAACGAATTCCCTGTATATTTATATGCAAGTGGAAAAAGAACACCTTTTCACCTAGATCTGAAGCTTATCAGACTTTCTCCCTTGTCTTGCTTCTCTTGTTTTGTTTCAACAATCAGCTGTGTTGTTTATCCTGTCTGTAAGCTTTTTGGAGCAATGGTTCAACTACCGCAGTGATGATTGCAGATAAAAATTCAGATTAAGTTTTCAGTGAAAATTGACTGATCTATCAGGAGTAACTTTCTTTCCTCCTCGATTTTTTAAGTTTGTCCATGGAGTTCTTGCATAATGACAGGCAAGCATGTAGCTTATTATTCAGTATTGCTCTGTTTACATGTGGTCCACATTGTGGAAAGATACTGAAAGAACCTCTGATGGCAATAGATTTAGTGAAGAGAACTGTAAAACCTAAACATGTTTAAACTGTATTACTTTTCTTGGCACCTTCCATCCTCTTTCTAATTCAGGGCATGTTTTTCTTCTTCTTGAAAAGATGTCTCTTTATCTAGATATGGAAATAATATCCTAATTAACCCAGAAGATGAGGCTGGTGATAGGTGTTACAGCTCTGCCTGATACTAGATCCAGCAGAGGTAACAATACTGCATGAATTGATCTGACTCCCAGCAACAAGCTCTATTTTCCTACTAAATGAAAAGGAAACAGATGTTCTGACTTCTTGATTTCAATATGGAACTTAATTATAAGAAAACTGTCAACAGTATTTCATTCTTGCATTAAATTCTGAACAGGGTGACCTTTAGTGTATCTCAATATTATTAATTTTTCTTTGGTTGTATTCTTTAATCCAAACATTTAATTTTGCAGTGTATGACTGTCAACGTAAGCCGCATGAGAGATATTTACTTTTTTAATAATAATTTATTTTGTAACAATGTCATAAAAAGTTTTTGAAGAAAATATAATTGTTTTAGAAGTTTTGTGGTAGTAATTTGGAAAATATGAGTTCTCATCCTACTTTGCCTTTGATTTTGCCTTTCTCATCCTACTTTTGCCGTGAGACTTTGTGAATCTCCTTTTGCTCTGGACTCACTGAAATTTGCTTTCTGTTGAAATGACTGGGAAATTTGCCATTTGAGTAAGAGTTTTTTCTGGCATGCTAAAACTTTACCTCTTCTTTAAACAGTTGTAAATTATCAGAAGGGGTAGAAGGCTGTATGAAATCAGGCATTACCTTGCCTTTTTATGAAAGATCATGAAGGTTAATTATCATGAGTTATCCTCATCAGGGAGGAAGACTCCAGTGTTTTTACACCAATAACATCTTGTCAGGATTTGTTCACTTCATTTTAAATTACACTCCTTTTGTCAAGCATTGCACGATCTTTAGGGGGTTTTAGAAATATTTTGCAAAATTGGTATGAAGCTTTTCAGTAATTAAACTTGACACTGGCTGCTAATTCAAAAGAGATTTAAAATAATATTTAAGATTAACTTATTCAGTAGTGATTCACGTTGACTGAATTTGTAAAATGATTTGTTGTTCTTGGTGATCTTTGTCAAACAATACTAGAAGAAATACTGAAGAACAGGGCAGCCAGGATGATGATAGTTTAGATCCTGGTCCAACAAGCTGAAATTAAAAACATGAGTTCATTCTGCAATGCAGTAGTTTCAGACTAGCAAATATCTGTGAAATCAAACTCAACATGTGCAGTGCCTTTGAATTCAGAGCATAATGTGTTGCTGTCAAACAGTAACAAATTTAGGTACTGAGTAATGAGAATATAAATATTTGTTTTATTAGCCTGTTGCAGATCTCAGAGCGTGGTAGGAATCTAATGGTGAGGTATACAAAACACAGTAAATCACATTCTGTATTATATCCTTCCAGCATTGCAAAACAAAATTGGGGCTACAATTAGTTAGTGAACATACAGATTGGACTTTATATGACTACTGACTCTCTTTACTTCATTATTTTAGTGTTTTGCAAGCCAAAATATGTTAAAATGCTATAGATTTTTAAATTTTGCACATGGAAATAGGAAGGAGTGGGTCCAGAAAACTGAATTTTGCTCTGAAATTTTAAGTACGCCAAAGTATTTACTGGAAGCTCACCTTTGGGTTTTTTGGTATTCATTTCAAGTAGAAACCTAAAGGAAGTTTTTTTGCATTTTGTTTTCTTTCCCACTAACTGAAAACTATTTAAGTGAAAATCCTTTGTCTTTTATCCCATTTAAACCATTTCTATTCTTATTGAAGTTATACACGTCATTTCATAATTAGCTCTTACCTCTTATTAAGACAGCAGTAGATAATGGGATTGTACATTGTAGAGCTCATGGCAAGCCAAAAGCTGGCTAAATAGATTTGTTGAATGTATTTCCACCGATTTAATTGTTGATAGATCCCAGTAACTATGAAGTAAATGTGGTAGGGCAGCCAGCAGATGGCAAATGTCAGCACAACCACAATCATCATTTTTACCACCTGAAAGAAAGAAGTAATAATGATATTTAGCTTTTTTTTTTTATTTGGACTAACATTTCAACGCCCACTAATAATTTTCTTGCAATTGATTATTAATCACAGAAAAGATGAATATATTTCTATAAGATTTCCCTTTTAATCTGACTCTCTTAATTGTTTTTTTTCTTAGCTGGAGATCCTCTTTTTCCTAAGAAAAATAATGTAAACATCTTCCCTAACTTTGTTTGTATTGATTCTTATAAGTAATATATTTGCTTACCTATATTTGGCTATCTAAAATATCACTTTCTTTCACTATGTTTAATCATGGAATAAGTTTACAGGGTGTTTAATTTGGACACCTTGTTTTTGGCCTTATTGACCCTGATGTCTTTTGCTTTTGTGGTCTGCAAGTATATTTCTTGTCCCTAATTATTAGATGTGATTTGAGTAACACTAGGTTGTAGGAAATGAGCAACTGCAGTATCCTGTCTAATTTCAGAGGCTAACAATTCCCTTGTCTGGTGATCCTAATTTGTTGTTTTCTGCAGTCATCATAACATCTGTTAGCTACCATAGTTTCCATTAAACACAAATGAAGAGAAGCTCTGCTTTGTGCAGAAAACATATAAAGAAAACTTTCAAGTCATGTAAAATTTTCACTCCTGTCTTTCCCTCTTCAGCTGTGTCAAGTACTAGCCCAGCTACCATTTTCAGCACAGTATGTCACACATTTACACCACAGGTTTTCTTTTTGTGGCTAAAATGAAACCAGACATGCTGGATCTCTGCTGGGAGGTCTCTTACTCATTTTTAGTGTGAATTCTGAGGAATAACAGGGATCACTATGAACAGTTCTTTTATTTTCTCTGTACAAAACATCATTTCCTACTGTTTCTAGTTTAACCAGAGGGAAAAAAACCAAAGAGCTAAAATTTCCCATACTTACATGTCTTTGGTTAATCTTTTTATAACATTTCAATTGACATAATTACATAATTTTACATATAAATGTTATTGTGCCCTCCTTAACTCATATTACACCTTCCAGTGGGAAACATAAAGCAATTTCTCATTTAATATCTGGCCCCAGTTAACATCTTTCCTGCTGGCTGGGACTGTACTATACAAGATTTTGCTTATAGGAATACTCATTATTGCTGATATATCTATTGATCATCACTGCCATATACCAAAGGGGCATCTGGCCCCACATAAACATTATTAATATTTGGTGCTTCTAAAGCACTTTTCATCCATTAACTGCAAATCATTGCAGAAGGAAGATTGGTATTATTATAAAAGAAGGCAACACGCTAAAACTTAGTATCACTTTCATCTTTGTAAGTGTACATCTGTGTGTCTATATCTAGGCATAAATAGAAGTTTATGGGACTGTATATGCAGTTTTTTGGGGTGAGGGGAAGAGATTGTGACTGTATGTGAACAGACATTTCTGGACTAAACCATGTATTAATATGAAACCATAAAAATATGTTGTCAAATCACAGTCTATCATTAAATGACATCTCTTTTTCATTGGTTTAGACGTAACTTCCACTATTCTTCTGCTGCAGATGTACACTTGTGCCTTGCACACATTTTACAGGCAGAAGACTTAACTCCATAGTTTTGCTACAATACTTAAGTTCTGTAATTCCAGAACACTTGAGAGCCTAATGACTTACCTTGATATTTAATTAGCAAAGCTTGCAGTACCAGCTGTGCATGTGAAGTTATTCCTAGAATTATTCGTAACTGGAATATCATAGGTACTAAATGAAAGGATTTTTGTCTCCAAGTTTTCAAAGTGTAGACATGGAAATCTGTATTTACACTGAACATTTTGTCTGTGCAGTGCTTGAGAACCAGAAGAGTAGAGCTTCCCAGCAAATAATGTAGCTTAATCTGGTTGAACACTGTGTCACTCATGCCCCAGAGCTGCTAGAAATCACAGTAAGCATGCAGGTTGCCAGTTTGGCATACTCAACTGTGTTAACAATGTTTTCCAAAAGAGGGTTGTTTGTCTTTTTTCTAACATCCAAATTCTTATTGGCTAGTTTTCCATGTTATGTTGAAGGGCAAGGCAAGCAGTACTTCAAGAGTAACTTAAAGGTCTCCTAAAGCTAATAACCTTCACAACCTGCACAAAAAATTGCATTTTGATTTCAACTGCTGCAAAAATTAACCCCAAATGAATGAAGTTTTGGGTTGAATTACTACTAAATGTAGTATTTCAGGAACCAGAAGTCCCAAAATAACTTTTTACACTACAAGGGAAATCCATATTTTTTTTTGATGACAATTTCAGGTAATTTGGTTTTAATTTTAAATATTTTAACTTTTTTAAAGTTTTGAAATGAAAAATATCAAATCACCCCCAGAAGATTACCTCCTTTCCTGCAAGATTACTGTTTTGTTTAAAACAAAACACTCATCTTTAAAAACAGTGAGATTAGTGTAAGATTTTCTTGTTGCTATTTCTGTCTGGAAATCCATGATTAAATATTAAGTAATCATCATTCTGAAAGCAGAAATTTCTGAAGTGAATAGTTACACTAGACAACAAGCAAAAGATGATTTTGGATGACCATTAGTGTTTGATTTAATTTATGAAGTAACAAGTCACTTGAATGACAGATGGTGAAGCACATTACTTCTTAATCATTCAGATTTGCAGCTGTTTTTCATAAATAACAAAAACTATCTAAAATTTACTGTATCATTTTTCTCTTAGGTAAGGGTGTATTAGTCTGCATTCCGCTGTTGTGAATGGTAATATACTGATAAATTTATGTTTAAGGGGAGACATAAGATGGGTTTTAATGTGTAAAATGCTTTTTCCTGGAAAAAAAAGTGTGAATTTTTCCAGTAAAAAGGGACATTTAAAAAAAGTCAAAGTTAAGTTGTCATTCTTTTGAATATTGATGTAGTAAAATGCACTCATCGACATATTTCCTAAGGAGAAGTTAAGTGAGATGTTGCAAGTCTGTGTAGCTTAAAATTGTTTGAAACACGTGGCAATTAGAGTTAAATTTGATGTTAAATGAACAAGTTATGAGAGAAATCATAAATCCCCAGTCTGTTCTCAGTTCATCATCTAAGAATGGCAGAAATGGAGGAAAAAAATAGTAAGAGGAAGCTGAAAAGGAGGGAGATTATTCCCAATTTCCTTTTCTCTTTCAGAGACTGGCATACACACTGTTCAAGGCCATACCTTGCAGTTTATGGCTGCAGTTCTTGTCTGTAACACTGATCTTTCCAGTATTGTTTCATTTCTTGATTATATCAATAACTATGAACAGAAAGTGACGTCAAGGTCTATAAACCCAGGGCACCTTGAATTTATTTGGTATAAATCCTGAACAACAAGCGCCAGTAAACCATTAAACTCAGGGCATAGGGAAAATAAGTGAAACAGGCTAAGTAGGAATTTGCCACAAAAACCCGATTGTCTTTTCCCAGTGCATTGTGATATTTCACTAAAAAGCCTCCAGTGACACTTTTCAGTTTTGACTGCAGAGTATAAAAGAGAGCTTCAGTGTTGGGGTTGCTTTTTGGCTGCTTAAACTTTGACTCTTAAAAAAAAAAATTCCTTTTTAATAAGCCTATTATGGTTTACTTTTTTGAGATATTACCATTTATCAATTACCTTCCCCTCTCTTCTGTGTCGCATAGAATTCATTAATAAGGGTTTGCTTCTTGTGCATTAGGAAACATTTGTAAAGCAAGCAAAGAAGAAAATTACTGAATTCACTTGACTGGCTTCAAGTGTAGCTGTTCCTGCCACCATTTCACTACGCAGCTTTCCAAAATGTGAATTGCAGTGAAAATCATCAACTTGTGTCCCAGTGGCACCATTTTCTCCTGGTGTTCTGTTCAGTCTCCCTTTGTGGGCAGCATAGCTGGAGGAAAGAGGTTTTTTTTCTGTTCCAGGCAGTACTTTTGTTAAAATAAATTGTACTGAGTCTCTCAGTTGTGCAACCTTTAAGCAAGTCTTGAGGCTAGATTTGTAATATGATAGAAAATCGGAGTATTTATTTTATATATTGCTTTTTATCAACACCTTCTCCTGCCTATGTTTAAGAAAAACTATGTCTAGAAAAAAAGCATTAATTTATTTGCTTTATAGTCTTGTCCATTCCTTTAAATCTTTCCTGTCCAAGTACAGAAGCATTCTTTCATTAATGATTGGTATGTAATGAATAAAAACATATTTAAAAGAGCAAAACAGATGTAAGTGTATTGGAATTAGAGTTTGCAGGTTTGCCTTTGCAGTGAAACATTAGAAGCAGTGAAAGTGAAAAGGAACTAACAGATTCTGCTACATTCCGAAAAAGCAGAAAATACATTTTTTTTCTGTTCCCATTTTTATTTTGAATGAAGAATAGCTCGGAAAAGAGTCTGATTTAGATGAGGCATTGAGAGCAGCTCTTGAAAGATCAGGAATAAAATAAACTTTTCTGAGAGACTCAGTTGCTGCTTGAGGAACATAGCAATTCACATTCCAAGGCACTGATTTGTCATCAATAGCTAATACTTGGCCTACTCTGTTGTTTCCTTTTCAGTCTTTTCTCCAGCTCCTTATTGCCTTTCTGAGTCATCTTTGGTAGTGTTGCTTCTACAAGGTCAGTAATTTATCTTCTGATTTCATTTGCACTGATATCACACAGTACAACTTCATTAGTTTCAAAACTTTTACTCCTAGGTGTTATGCATATGTAAACAAGAACTAAATAATTTAAGAACTCGGCAGTGTAATAATGTCTTCATTAACCCACTCATGGATACTATTTGTTCATGAATACAACTTAAACACAGTTCACAGATTATGTCTGGAAGTCATAACATGTTCCTCTTTCTGCTCTGTGCACTTCTGGGAGAAGTAAAATACCAAGCGAAAATTACAGAAGGTGTTTCTCCTGACATGTTAGAATGCAATCAGTAAATCCACTTCCCAGCCCTGGGCACATACGTGGCACTTGTGCACTAAGCACCAGAGAGAAGCGAACACCAATATG